TAAATATTACTCCAATAAATACCACGTCCAAGGAAAAACTATTAAGCATCAAGGCACACAATAATTATAATTTATTTATGAACAAATAATGGCAATTAATAATTAATTGTGAAAATCATGGAGAAAATAGGCTTTTTAATATTTAATATGCTAAATGTCAAGCAATAATTTAAGACACGTAAATCAAATCAGTATGTAGCAATTATTGCAGGAATTCAAGAATTAATATTTGACAAAGAATAAGAGAGAAATAATTATCATAACAATTAATTCGTGTATTAAAACAAATTTAGGATTTTCAAATAATTATACAAACAATTAATTTGACGACGTATAGACACTCGTCACCTCGCCTATACGTCGTTCACATGCATTTCACATAATAAATAATTTAAGGGTTCTATTCCCTCAAGTCAACGTTAATCACGACACTTACCTCGCTTTGCAAATTTCAATAAATTATTCGATCACAGCTTTCCCTTTTGAATTTGTCTCCAAAGTGTCAAATCTATTCACAAACAATTTGATATACTCAATACGAATCATAGGAATTAATTCCATATGAATTTACTAATTTTTCGGATAAAAATCCGAAATTTATTTAAATATTCGATAGTGGGACCCACGTCTCCAATCTCGAAAAAACTTATGAAATCCGATCATCCATTCCGAGATGAGTCCAACCATACAAAAATTATCCAATTTCGATGTCAAATGGACCTTCAAATCTTAAATTTTCATTTTTGGAAGATTTTATAAAAATATGATTTTTCTCCCAAAAATTCACGGATTCATGATATAAATGAGTATAGAATCATGAAATATAATCAATATATGATAAGGAACACTTACCCCAATGTTTTTCCGTGAAAATCGCCCAAGAATCGCTTTACCTGAGCTCAAAAATTAGAATTGGTTGAAAATGGGACGAATCCCATTTTCCAGAACTTATGTTATTTTTACCCAAATTTTACCTTATGCGATCGCGTACAATGCTTCGCGATCGCGAAGCACATTTTTGGCTGTCCAGTTTTTCTTAATCGTGATCGCGTGAATAGCCTCGCGATCGCGAAGCTCTACTTTGCTGCCCCAGAAATTTACTCTACGCGAACGCGATGCTTTGACTCGCAGACTTACGCGATCGCGAACAACCTCACGCGATCGCGATGAGTAAAGCGTGTGGCTCATCTTTAGCCTCTTTAAGTCTACGCGAACACGACCTTGGCCATGCGAACGCGAAGAAAAACTTTGGCTAGCCTCTCAGTTTGTCTTACGCGATCGCGAACGACCTCACGTGATCGCGATGAGTAAAAATTCTGCAACAAAACAAGAGAAATCTGTCATTTTCCTTAAGTTCAAAATGGCCCGTTGAGCATCCGAAACTCACCCGAACCCTCAGGGCTCCAAACGAAGCATGCACACAAGTTTTAAAATATCATACGAACTTGCTCGCGTGATCAAATCGCCAAAATAACACCTAGAACTACGAATCGGATTCCAAATCAAAGAAAATTTTTAAGAAAACTTTAAAACTTATATTTTTACAACTGGACGTCTGAATCAAGTCAAATCAACCCCGTTTCTTGCCAAATTCGGCAGACAAGTCATAAATATTATAGTGGACATATACCGGGTTCCAAAACCAAAGTACAGACCCGGTGTCAATAAATCCAACATCAGTAAATTCTTAAAATTTATTAAGTTTTTAAACTTTTAATTTTTCATCAAAATTCTATATCTCGGGCTAGGGACCTCGGAATTCGATTCCGGACAAACGCCTAAGTCTCAAATCACGATACGGACCTACCAAAACTATGAAAATACTGATCTGAGTCCGTTTGCTCAAAATGTAGACCAAAGTCCACTTAGTTGAGTTTTAAATTTCTATTTCACATTTTAATCCATTTTTTTTTCTCACATAAAATTTTCCCGAAAAATTGTACGGACTGCGCACGCAAGTCGAAGAATAATAATTAGTACTTTTCGAGGTCTTAGAACACAGAATTAATTATTCAATTTAAAGATGACATTTTGGGTAATTACATTTATTTTCGAATTTGCCTCTTCTTCGACGTAACACTAGTTCATTCACTACCAAAAGCCGATAAAATAATATAGATCAATTTACTAATAAAAAGATTAAACTCTATTAACATTATTGATTAATACATCTTGATATGCCATTGCAAAACGGCAAAAGAGTTTTAATTGGAAAATAAGTTAGTGAGGAATGAATCCAAGCGATGGGGTTAGGCATTTATTGATGGACACTTTCTTAGGTGGATAGAATGATTAGCAAGATTATTGATTAGTAGGACGTTTAGATATGTTTGGTCTTTTTTGCTTTTAACGTGAAGTACTATTTCTTTGTTCTTATTACTTGACACGTGCGAGGCATGTGTGTTTAAAATGTTNTAGGTAAATAAAAAGAACAACTTTCCCTTAAACTATGAATATTGATGTAATGCTGGAGTTTTAAATGATTCAATATATTTTGAACCTACAAGAAGGATCAATTTAATTGAATTTGATAAAAAAAATATTAATTTTATTATATGAGGAGTGCGTGTGCGTATATATATATGTAATTTACTATTTATATATTCCCTAATGTCAACATCCTTCTGCATTTTTGAAAAGTAAAGGATACTGGACCGGTCATAACGATCACAGAAATGAATATTGTTTCCATATTTTGTTTCATGCATGAATGTTCATCTATAATAATGTTTTATGACCAAATCTTGTTTTATTATCGTTGAAAATTTCAATTTTAATGTTTTGTTGTTTTTAAATGTAATCATATTATGACTTGGTAATGGTTCCGTTTCTTTTAATTATTCTTATAATTTTTTTTTTAGCCTTAAAATAAATGGCTAGGCAAAATAGTCTCTCCCATTTTCCCTCCTGTTTTCTGTTTCTTGTTTTCAAAGAAGCACGATTTCATGTTCTATATTTCACTTCCCAGTTGGAGTCCCCAGTAATACTAATTGTTATTCCAGAATTCTGATAATACTTGACATCGGAAATACGAATTGGTCGTCGAATGTTAGACAGCTTACTGCAACATGTGACAAACTTCAGTTCTTTTTACAAAGATTGGATGATATGACAATATTTTCTTATAAAATAAACTAATGTTAGCTTTTCCTCTCCTCTTATGAGACACTAAATATGATTGTATTTGACTAACCGGAAGCAAATATAATACAATCATTATGTTTTTACTGAGTGCTGGTGGGTAATATAGTAAGTTAATATCAATTAAAAATTACCAATAATGATAGTTTGTGCGAGACGTGACATTAATAAATGGTATGTACACAAAGTTGGTGAGAGGGAGATACAACATGATGTTGCTGGAGCATATTAAATGGGACAAAGAGTGATTAGGGAACAGGGACACCTGTCTTGTTTTGAATCTCTATGAATCCAAAGAGTCCACAGTACAACAAGACTGGACCATTATGTGTACCTATCTTTGCTAATTGGGTGGCCATGGTTTAGTTGCCTAACTCACTGGGAAGTGGGAGTTCTTCAAACCACTCTTTTATTCACACACGATTCCTAGGAGCTACACTCGAAAATTGCGATGAAATGGTTGAGATTTTTTTCTATTTAGTCATACGTCTCGAATTCGAGTTTTTTAGAATGACAAAACTTTTTTTATTGGGAGAGCTTTTAACTCTTTAGTATGTTTATCTAGTACGAACCAAAATTAGTCAGGAGCTTGGATACATACAAATCTGACGGATGAAATAAGAATCATTTTTTGGACGATCAACCAACCCAATCCAACCAGCTCATTTTTTACTAGGCATCTAGGCGAATCTGTCCGTAAATTTTCAATATGAAAAGATTAAACCTAGGAGCTGCACAAAAACACAGGCAATTGGCAATTGCTCCACGTTAGTATCTTCTCATCTAAGATCTGCTAAATGTCCCTGTCAAAGATTTAAAGAAGATAAACATTCAAACCCCTAAGATGTGCTCAACACAAGAAGAGGATGTCCCACTTTGTAACACTAGCGGTCTAACAAGCAAGACTTGGACAAGTAAAACTGCTAAGTACATATATACAAATGTATCTATACCCTACAGTAGAATATCAGTTTAAAATATATGAACGTAATAATTAAAGAAAAAAGACATACTGTCGTTTCATCGTCTTATATACCTTCTTCTGTCATTCAAAAAGAATTTATGAGCTCGACGGCAATTATGGATTCACCAAATCAGGATAAAAGCATCTTTAAAAGCTATTGCATTTGTTATCAAGTACTAATAAATTGGTCGTAGACTAGTTTGAATTTCTTAGTTAGAAAGGGAAACTGGCCATCATCACTAATTTACATTAGCCGGACAAGTTCCTTTTCCTTTTTACTTCCCTTTTTGTTGGGAAAAATTTGAAAAAGAAAAAAAAAAGAGATTGAGAAATGATCTCCTACTACCATTTGCAATTTAAATAGAAGAAAATGATGTTACAAAATCTCGCATGTTTAATTTTCAGATATTCTTTGTTATCTTTTATTGGTTTTTTATAAAAAAAAAAAGTCATATAAACCTTTCTTGATAAAGGTAAAGGATGAAGTAAAGTTCATTTCCTCCTTAATAGTTTGCCTCTTTTATTCGAATATTGACCTCTAAATCTAAGTAGGGAAGTCGATTATAAAATGGCGATAGTAAGAGTGACTTATAATAGGCATTATCAATTTTACAATATTTTATGTGAAGCAAACTGTGATTAGAGAGGATAACGTACCATAATCCCACATTATCAAAACATCCTTATTCTCCTCTCCCCACCCCAAAAGGGCCCGTGGCTCCACTTTCTCCTTTTCTACCTATGTTTTAATGTTTATATACTCTAAAAAATCTAGAATTAGTATTGTCAATTCTTCAAAAATAAATAAAGATATTAAAATATTTGAAAAGACATCTACTAACATTATATCGACACCACTCTTGTTTCATTTGGGTATCTTCCCATCTGTAGTGTCTGCAATTACTCACTAAAACCCCAAAATCCAAAATCCCAAGTAAATCTAAACAATTCCCATACCTCTTCTCCTTACTTCTAGAGTTTATAAAGCAATTCTTCACTTTGAAAAGACAGGAAACAGTTAAAAAAGAAAGATTTGTCTCTCTTGAACTTTAGTGTAGATTACTACTCCCTTGGAACATGTCTAATTATACTGTCTTGTCTCAGTTAATTAAAGACGGACGTAATTGCTTTCCAAAAAGAACTGATTGGAATTCTTGGTTTTTAGAGGTAACAACCAAATATCACACTTGAGTCTCTATTTATCTCTTCCCTTTCATTACCACCCCCAAAAGTAGACCAAAGGCAAAACAAAGAGCCCCCACCACTTGTTCTTTATAGTATTGTACCCTCCATCTTCCCTATCATAAAGTCTCAGAATTCACAATTACCGCTTCCAAGAATTTGATGAAGAAGGCTGCAGGGAAGAGAAAATATTCTTATCATTCAATTTACACTTGAATTGGCTTAGTCCAGTGCAAATTTCTAGTAGTTATTTTGCATAACTAGCCCCATCATAGTATATCCAAAATTTCTGCCAAGAATTGGGTTATATTCTGCAATTTCCTGCTACAAATCAAATCCAAGATTAGGAATTCGAAGGCCAAGTTTGTAAATTATGGAGGTTTATCATCGTCCATACCGGCTACTACTCGATCCCCGTCCTGTTGTCCCACCTAGCACTACTATAACCAAACCACACCATGGTTACTCCAACGAAGCAAATTTCGACACTAATATGGTGATCATTTTAGCAGCTTTGCTTTGTGCATTAATATGTGCTCTTGGTTTAAATTCAATTGTGAAATTAGCTTTGCGTTGTAGCCGGAGATTTGCTTTCGAGTCGGAAAATGCAACAGTTGCGCGCTTAGCTGCGACAGGGCTGAAAAAGAGCACACTTAGGCAACTTCCAGTGACAGTTTATGGATCAGGAGTTAATATTCCGGCTACTGATTGTCCAATTTGTCTTGGCGAATTTATGGATGGCGAGAAAGTAAGAGTTTTGCCGAGATGTCACCACGGTTTTCATGTTAAGTGTATAGATATTTGGTTGGCTTTACATTCTTCTTGTCCGACTTGCCGACAATCGTTACTGGAACAGAACACAAGTACAACGACATCCTCTGATGCAGGCGATGTTGAAACTGGATTGAGACAACAACATGGAACTGCTGCGGAGGTTGGTTAGTTTGCAGTACTTTTTTGTTTTAAAAGGGAAAATATAGAAAGGTAGGGAGTTTCCCTAATTAGTAGTAAAAGGTTGAGTCTGTTTTCTATTTTTGTGAAGGTCAATTGTGTTCGTTTATCTATGAATTATTAAGTCTAGCATCAAAGTATGTATTTGCAATACATTTGATTAATTCTTATCTTTGATGTTGTCGAATTCCTAAGGAAATTGCTTACATTTTTGTCGGTCTTTTATTTAACCATTCAAACATACTGGCGTGACTAATAAGGCACATGCTAGTCATATGCCGCATAAGGAGTCAGTAAAGGGGAATTGCCCTTTAATTACTCCTTTGACAGGGTGTCCAAGAGGGGTTGCTCTAGTGGTAATCCACTTCTACTCAAGAGGTTGTGAGTTCGAGTCACCCCAAGAACAAGGTAGGAAGTTTTTAGAGGGAGGGAGGCGGGGTCTATCGGAAACAGCCTCTCTACCCCAAGATAGGGGTAAGGTCTGCGTACACACTACCCTCCCCAGACCCTATTAGTGGGATTATACTGGGTTGTTGTTGTATAAGGGTCTCCAAAATTGCATAATATTCTAGGCTAAATGGTGGAGTTAAGGTATTAAACTTTCGTGTTTGATACCAATTGGTAATCCTATGATGTAGCTCTAAGAAGATAGAAGGATTTTTTAGTGATTTGGATGAGTAAAGCAGAGTCTGTCTTTAATTTCTGTTTGAAAAGCCAGAAGGGAATTAATGAATGCTACTTATTAAAAAGTGCCTTAATTCCAAATTTCAAAGATCATGATCTTGATTCTTGACCTTGACCTGCACGCAACACTGCTACAACAACTGATTACTCAGTATTCAGCACTGCGTTTTAGAGGCCTTATTTCATTATCTTTTTATTTCTGGGCTTAGCAGTTATTTTCTCAGAAGAGCTATTCAATGTCCCTTCTACAAGATGGAAGCTGCAGATTTTAGCACTAAAAAGCAAAAATTTTGTACATGTAGTGTTCTAATAGCTTGAATCTAACCAGTTTTCATGTCTTCATTAAGATGAAATTAGATTCATTGCACCTTGATCATTTCCAGCAAAAGGAAGAAGAAAGAAAAAAAGGCTATGTGGGAATATTCTTTTCTTCTTCGAGTTACCCAAACTTGAAACTTTTCTGGTCTCTGTTTGATTTGATGGGGCACATTCAGATATGTATTATTAGCCACAAGGAACAAAAGGAATCATCAGCATGTGCTACAAGATTGGAATCTTTTTTTCATTATATAGCTCTTTCTTCCCCTATATTGGGCCACAGCATTTCTTTGGGTAACAAAATCTAAAGCAAGGTATCAGCTGGACATTGAGACAACTTTCTTCGAGGTTTGATTGATCAGCATTATCTATCTCCTACTAGATTGAGTTCAATTTGAAAAGATTGCTGGCAAAAACTAACATAGTGGGCAAAGGAACAATCTAGAATGATGATTGAGTTGGAGGAAGTCAATTCTAGAAATAAAATTGGATCCCTTTTCCCCCTAATAGGAGTAAATTTCATGGGCGGTCAATCAACTTTATGTTCATTATCCAAAACTTTGTGTTCATTATCCAAAAGTCATTTTTCTTTCCTTTGTTACGTAAAAGTCATTCAACTTTATGTTCATTATCCAAAAATCACATTTTTTTCTTTTGTTACACAAAAATCATTTGTCTATGCTCTAGTTATCACAATAATTATTTTGACCAGATTTTACAAATCTTTCACCTGAAAAGTCTATTATGCCCTTGATATTATAAATTATTCCATTTATGTAATACCTTCTATTATATGCTACATAATATACTTTTACCCAGATATTTTACTTATAATTAAATTAACTTGATATTATTTTATTTATTTTTTATAATATATTCGTACATTTAATTTTTCCTTAACGATAATTTTCAAGATTTATAAGTATCATTATTAAATTTGTCAGTAAATATTAATTGCCGTGAATAAATCTCAAGTCCACGTTCTTAACCATGCTTAATGAAATATTTTTAATGATCAGCCAAGCTATACTCATTAATCCAATAAATAAAACACCCATAATTAGCACAGTGACACATTAGATTAATACTTTCAAATAAATAATATTAACAAATAAAGTTTTAAAAATCTTAATATTAAATACTAATATCTTTGAAACTTTTTTCAAAATTTGTATTGACTATAAAAAAAACTATCATTTGTTAAACAAATATGTTTTTTATTATTTCAAATAAATATTTTTTATGGTTTTTTAGATTTAAAATATGTTCATGTTTAAATATGATTAAATAAACGGAAAAGAATCAGAAATATCCCTCTATTATTGAATATTATTTAAAACTACCCTCAGTCATACTAATTGAGCAAAAATACCCCTCCCATCTTACTATTGAACACAAAATACCCCCATTTTAACGGAGGTACCACGTGGCAGCAATCTGATACAATTAGTCCATCCGGGTTCTTTTGTAAACTTATTCGACCCAATACCATCAAACCCACCTAAAAAACGACCCATTTGTCTTTTATGAATTCATTAGTCTATACCAGTTTGGGTGAACCTATTTCCTTTTTGGTCCATTCCAAAAGAATGACCCCTTTCTAATTTTGGAAATAATTTTGCTTAAACTTATAATTCTACCCTTAATGAGAAGTTTTTATAACCACACAAATATTTTGGGCCCCTTTTTGAATTGTTTAGGACCACAAATTCTAATTTTTTTTATTTTTTCTTAAACTCCGTGCCTAGTCAAATAGGTTCATATAAATTGGAACAGAGTGAGTAATTAGTACCATAAAAATAATACGTGGTTAAACAACACCAAAATCAAAAGATAAAAAATGGTGAACTTCACTTTTAATGTCAAAAATCACCGGCAACCAAAGTCATTATTCCGGTTGCAAACCCTTACAGACAACAAATACAACACATGTTAGTACTAGAATCGCAGCCGACTACTAAACCCATTTACTCCTAACTCGAACATCCACCATTATTCTAAATCGCCTACGGCAACTAACGAATCGGGAGTAAAAAGTGCTCGAAATGAAGATGTGAACCGATAGATCTCTTCCTCTTGCTTGGATATACTGACATCTCATATTTCGGTTCGTTTCAACTGTGGGAAGTCCTTCAGAAATGCTTCGTACCTTGTTGGTGGTGAGGAGGAACTCCGATTATTTTACTGTCCCAAGTTCCACAAATCTGAAAAAATAAATCCGGCAAACTTGACATCGACGACCATGGAGGTTACGCCCATTCTCGGCCAAATTTTTCCACTAAGTGAACCAATTAGTGATTTAATTTTGCTTAAAAGTTTTTGTTAGGACATATGACTATAATGTCTAAGAACCTAAGCCAAACTATATTGGATAATGTAGAAAGTGGATCAGTACAGATTGGTGGTAACCAAATTTTAAGGATAGATATGGATACCATTTAGATTTGAGAAGAAGTTTCCTTTTTTATTTGATTTAGAAGAATTGAGTTTTGATTTTGTTAAACACATATGTGTAGAAAGTGTGCATTGGCAGTTATGACTTTATCGCTGGTGGTGCATAGGCGGAGGTGAGTGGAAAAGAAAGATGAACAAAAGAGAAAAGAATAAGAAAAAAAAAAGTAGACTTATTTGCTGGACAGGTATTAATCGGGTCATCTTTTTAGGTGGGTTTGAGGGTATTGGGTCGGGTAAGATTATAAAAGAACTCGGATGGACTAATTGTATCAGATTGCTGCCATGTGGCACTTCCGTTAAAATGGGGGTATTTATGTTCAATAGTAAGACGGAAGGGGTATTTTTACTCGATTAGTATGACGAAGGGTGGTTTTAAACAATATTCAATAGTAGAGGGATATTTCTGACCCTTTTCCGTTAAATAAATTGAGTGCTGTGAAAAAATTAAATGTATAGATATATTATAAAAATAATAAATAAAATAATTTAAAGTTATTTTAATTATAAGTAAAATACCTAGTTAAAAATATATTATATAGTATATAATATAGAAGTCATTACATAAAATGAGATGATATATAATGTCAAGGGCATAATAGACTTTTCAAGTAAAAGTATTATATATAAATGTCAAGGGCATATAAAAATCAGATTGCTGCCATGTGTAACAAAAGAAAGAAAAATAACTTTTAGGTAATGAACACAAAGTTGAATGATTTTTACGTAACAAAAAGAAGAAAAATAACTTTTGCGTAATGAACACAAAGTTGAATGACATCTATAAAATTTACTCCCCTAATAGTGGCAGATCTAACCTCAAAATCAGGCATAACCCAATGTTTCAGTGTTAAACCCTATATATATGTGCCAAAAAGAAATATACTAGTAATTGAGTTAGCAATACATTTCAGAACCCACTGACCTAACTCAGAACTCACAGGTACGTTCTCTAAATTATGGATCTTCTACTCTTTCACATTGTACCTTTTCCAGCCATTTCTTGATACTCTCTTGATTATTGAAAGTAAAGTGCTAATACCTGTAATTCAGGGTGTGCTGTACTCAGGGCCTATGGTATAACAGGTGATTGTTGGATAGACTTGCAACAATAGCTCATGGTACTCTATTGAATATGAAATTGTAGGCAAAAATGAAAGCACAAAAAAATCAATTTAAGAGAAAACTATATAAAAAAATTAATTATGATCTGACGGGTAACAAAATGGAATCCTGATTTATAGAGTTTAGTGTCACGTCCTTAGTCGTTAACTAAGTACACGTGCGACACTTGACAATTTGCTCACGTTCTTGCTATGCCAAGTCAGCCTTACTACACTCAAGATCGCTAAGAGAATGGTAGAAAGAACGCAAGAGAATTGTTAAAGGAAGCTTTGTATTAGAGAGAACTTGAATTGTTTGCTTGATGAATTACAAATGAATGGCCTCCTTTATATACTAGTCTCCTAGGGACTAGTGTGCAAATATTAATTGTTACACAAGTCCTTAATATTTACAAGATAAGGGCTTTCTCTAGAATTCTCTACAAGCCTAGAAGATTCCAAGGACTTTCCTAGCAAATCCATAAACATCTAGGATCTTCCAAAGGAAATGTCCATACTTCTCTAGAATCTTCTCACAAATGCAAGCATTCCTCCTATGTAAGCTTCCACATGGCATTAATATATGCCAAATGGCGCTTATGTGGCATGATGACATGGCGAGTCATCACACTCTCCCCCACCT